CGCATACAATAGCAATTCTTCTTTGACTAATGGGCAACCATGCACTTCTAAATAGCAAGGAAGCTGAATGACTGTAGGGGTATGGATAGCTTTTTCATGGGCTCTGCTCAGTTTGTATGTTGTAACTTATGTCGAGCCATTGCAAGTGAATTTAACAAAGGCCAGTAAACAAAATTGACAAAAATATACACGATAAAGTTGCACATTTCAGCTTGGAGTTTGGTACTATTTCAACTGTCAATTCGATGATCTTGGAAGATCTTGTCAAGATCCCACCATGATCTTGCCAAGATCCCACCATGGTCCTTGCCAAGATCTTATCACAATCTTGCCAAGATTCTATCATAATCTTGCCATGATCTTGCACAATCTTGGCAAGATTCCACCATGATCTTACCAAGATCATATCAAAATCTTGCCAAGATCCTATTGTAATCTTACCATGATCTTGGAAGATCTTGTCAAGATCCCACCATGATCTTGCCATGATCCCACCATGATTCTTGCTAAGATCTTATCACAATCTTGCCAAGATTCTATCATAATCTTGCCATGATCTTGGACAACCTTGCCAAGATTCCACCATGATCTTGCCAAGATCTTGTCAAAATCTTGTCAATATCCTATCATGATCTTGCCATGATCTTGGAAGATCTTGTCAAGATCCCACGATGATCTTGCCAAGATCCCACCATGGTCCTTGCTAAGATCTTATCACAATCTTGTCAAGATTCTATCATAATCTTGCCATGATCTTGCACAATCTTGGCAAGATTCCACCATGATCTTACCAAGATCATATCAAAATCTTGTCAAGATCATATTGTAATCTTGCCATGATCTTGGAGGATCTTGGCAAGACTCCACCATGATCTTACCAAGATCCTACTATGATCCTTTCTAAGATCTTATCACAATCTTGCCAAGATTCTATCATAATCTTGCCATGATCTTGGACAATCTTGCCAAGATTCCACCATGATCTTGCCAAGATCTTATCAAAAATCTTGCCAAGATGCTACCATAATGTTGCCATGGTCTTGAAAATCTTGACAAGATCTCACCATGATCTTGCCAAGATCTCAGCATGATCTTGCCAAGATCTCAGCATGATCTTGCCAATATCTTACCAAAATCTTGCCAAGATCTTATTGTAATTTTGCCATGATCTTGGAGGATCTTTTCAAGATCCCATCATGATCCTTGCTAAGATCTTATCACAATCTTGCCAAGATTCTATTATAATATTGCCATGGTCTTGGAAGAACTTGTCAAGATCTCACCATGATCCCAGCATGATCTTGCCAAGATCTTATCTATCTTGATCTTGGAAGTTCTTGACACAATCTCTTGTCATGATTTTACCATGATAATACCAAAAATGCCATGATTTTGAAAGATCCTTGTGAAAGGAGGCTTTTACGCGCACAGTTGCTCTCGCACCTTTGCGTGCCAGATCCAAATGACTGAAATGAGATCAATTAATCAATATCTGTAAATCTTGTTATCTGCGCATTTTTCGCATATTTGTGGTAGACAACCGTTGGTAAAAGCCCCAAGGCGCGTTTTATAAGTCAAACATACAAGGTACACGGCAGTTTATACTTCTGTTCCTCGACTTTGTTGCTGCACTAAAGAAGAAAGGATAACTTGTCGAGCTGTCTTAAATAAAAAGTAAGTGCTTACAACCTATTTTGTAACACATTATTTGTATATTGAATGAATGAGCGCTAAGCAGTTTGATTACCACATGTAATAAATGTTTCAAGCTTTTTCAAATAACCTTACAAATGGCTAAGTTAATCGGCTAAAGCGATGTAATGCTTGCTGTAATTTCGACTTTAAATAATTTTAATAACACCTCTTCATTGGTCGCAATAAGCTCTTACGTTGCTCTAAAAACGTGATAATGCCTAGTTTAACGTTTTGTTAAGAATGACAAAGCCGTTGAGAATACCCCTGGGACCACAAATTATTATATTCACACAGTCTTATATTTATTACACAGCTTTTGCGCAGCTTGCGCTACTGAAATGTCCTGATAACCGTAGTTTTGACAGGTCCGGTGCCAAACATGGTAAATGCACCGCATAGGAACACGCAATTTCACACTACGGTATAAATGTGAGCTTCATTAGTGAGTTAAGTTTCATTATGCCAACCAAGCTAGGATAAAATATAGAGATCTTTCATATAAAATTAATGGTTTGAGCTATGATTATTCAACATGTGTATTATTCAAAATTTGTTATTTCAAATATTATTTAGGAAACATGGTGAAGACATCCCCAAATGATAAAGCTATGGCCAAAAAAGAAACTACAGAGATCGAGATAGTAAGTATGAGTGTATACATGTGTAATTTATCGTTTTTACTTAAAAAGAATTCAACTACAGTGATTTAATATCAAGTATTGTTAATTCATTTTAGTGGCTCAATGACATTAATTTGATGACCGTAAATGCACCACCAAAAGAGCCATCAAAATGTGCAATCAAATTATTGGACTTACTATTTTCATCGGAAGAGCTCCAGGATGGAATACTATTCCAGTCGAAAAGATCTCCAAAAGCAGCACTAGATCCCAACAGGGTCACTAAATTGTTTGGTAAGAACAATATATGTGATTTGACTTGAAGAAAAATTAACTGGCCAGCTGTGAACAGATATATACAAACTTAAGACTAAGTTGCCACAGTATGTGTTAATTAAAAGTACTATAGTTTTCTTTGCCAATGGCAATGTGTTTTGGGTAAACATTGAAATGAACTTAAATACAAAAAATAGACTTACTTTAACACAGTCTTTTTTTACGATATAGCTGTCCTCAACGCCAAGTATGGCGAAGAAAAAGTACAGAAAACAGTAAACAGTAAACACGCCAAATTATCGTGGATGCGTGCAATCAAAATTCAAAAGTGCCGCGATATGCGAAGAAAAACAAAATCGAAGAACTTGCAATAACAATGGTGTCAATTTGCTAATATAATTCATGAAGTAAAGTATGAAACAACCTCCGAATAAAAGTTCCATCTTGAAACTCAATTCTTTAGAACAACATTAAGAACAGACAAGATTCCCTTTGTTTTCTCTCAAATATTGAGCAAGGTGGAACTTTCATTCGGACTTTATTTCAATCGCCATAGATATTGATAATATTTTACCAACATTATTGGTCTAATTTACTACATTTACTATGCAAACTAAACCGGGTAAAAGCTTGAGTATTATAATTTGGATGAACTAATTGATTACAATTTAATAAAGACCGACACTGAATTTATGGCAATATTGTACACTTTTACGTTAGTTTGATAAATTCAATCAAAGTTATATCCAGAGTATAGTATATTTCATGTAGAGCCTCTTCATTCTGTATTTGCCATGTATTCTTGCCACGAACTTGGTAAAATCTTGTAGGGTCATGGCAAGATCTGGCTGGATTTTGGTAAGATATTGAAGGATCATGGCAAGATCTCGCAGGATTTTTGGTAAGATCTTGGAGGATCATGGCAAGATCTTGCTGGATTTCGGTAAGATCTTGGAGGATCATGGCAAGATCTCGCAGGATTTTTGGCAAGATCATGGCAAGATCTTGCTGGATTTTGGTAAGATCTTGGAGGATCATGGCAAGATCTTGCAGGATTTGTGGTAAGATCTTGGAGAATCATGACAAGATCTTGCAGGATTTGTACCAAGATCATGCCAAGATGTTACATAAATCCTGCAAGATCATGGAAAGATCTTGCATGATCTTGCAAGATCTTTCCAAGTTCTTGCAGGATCTTACCTAAGATCTTGCAAGATCTTTCCATGTTCTTGCAGGATCTCAACTAAGATCTTCTAGGATCTTGCAAGATCTTTCCATGTTCTTGCAGGATCTTAACTAAGATCTTGCAAGATCTTGCCATTATCATGGCAAGATCTTGCAGGATTTGTACCAAGATCATGCCAAGATCTTACATAAATCCTGCAAGATCATGGAAAGATCTTGCATGATCTTGCAAGATCTTTCCAAGTTCTTGCAGGATCTTACCTAAGATCTTGCAGGATCTTGCAAGATCTTGCCATTATCATGGCAAGATCTTGTCATGATCATGGCAAGATCTTGCAAGATGTTTGGCAAGATCTTGCAAGATCCTGCAAGATCTTAGGTAAGATCCTGCAAGAACTTGGAAAGATCTTGCAAGATCATGCAAGATCTTTCCATGATCTTGCAGGATTTATGTAAGATCTTGGCATGATCTTGGTAAGATCTTGGGTAAGATCTTGTCAAGATCTTGCTGGGATCTTGGCAAGATTGTCAACCTGGGACTTAATTCACTTGCCATCAGACAATGGCCACTGGGGTACCTAGGTAGGGGGTATAATTCGTATAAATTAGGGGGTCAACATGTCAACCTCTTTGTCCACTGTTCTATATGGCTATGTTATACCGCCTCAGATCTAGCTTTGGCCCACAAAAAGAACAAAATTTGAATCAAGTACATGCACTATAAAAAATTTATCCGACAATGAAAACATATTAAACTTAAAATGCCCAGCTTTTTGTGGCAAGGCAACTTGCCCAATCGGGTAAGCAAGATAAAATGTTTACTTGCCTGTCATGATATTAACTTGCCCCGGGCAAGTGGGCAAGTGTTAAGTTACACCTCTGCACTTACGAAAATTGACAAGTCTGGAGCAAGTTCATATCATTTTGTAAGAAGTATTATTTAAAGCATGTGTAGGAGTGTTTTATCAGATATAAAACACGAGGTGCAGCCGAGCGTTTTATATCTGATAAAACACAACTACAAGTGCTTTAAATGGCTTAAAATACGACTACAAAAGAATACTAATTAGGATGAACCATTATATAATCATACGGTACTAATTAGGATGAGTTTTATCAGATATAAAGTTACTCCATGTGACTTGTTATGGCTGACATGATTTGCCACCATGATTTGAATCAAGGCCACTGGTTGATGACACTTCACTGGTTGATGACAACAAGCTTGTAGTAACTTGTTACGAACAGCCTGTATTAGTCTTGTTGGAACAACTTGTAGCAAATCTGTTGCCATCATCAAGATGTTAACAACTTGTTCCAGACTTGTAACAACAACTGGGAACAAGCAGTGCGAACACATCCTAATGTTGGCTTGGCAACAACCTTTTGTTTGCAATTTATAGCGTACCTGTATATGGCTGTAAAATCTGTGAATAGGTGGTCTTTGTCTTCTTTGATTTGCTAATTTGCATATAAACACTAAAACACTGTTTTTAAATACGTAAACAAGCCATATAAACTTTCGTAATATTTTCGTATAAATATTGTCGCCCTTTGACGCGCGCCTGCTTTGCAGGCTATTTTCACATGGTCGTCCGCTGTACATTGTATCGCATGTAACGGTTTTGTAAATGCGATACAATGTACAGCGGACGACCATGTGAAATAGCCTGCAAAGCAGGCGTGTCGAAGGGCGACAATATTTAACAATTATTCGCCGAAGGCGAGGTGATTATCGGTGAATAAAAACCGAGACGAAGTCGAGGTTTTTATTCACGATAATCACCGCGCCTGAGGTGAATAATTGTTTTAGTATAATTTCATAGGTGATTATTTGGAAACAAATTTTAAAATGCACATTTCTTTGTAATTTAATTGACAAAACGGCTTCGACCGCCATTTTGAAAATCGCTTAGGTGATTATCGCGTAATAATCACCTCAACGGCAACCAATCAGCGTGGAGAATTTTCAATAATCACCTATGTAATTATACTAAACGAAAATATTACGAATAAGTTTATATGGCTTGTTTACAACAAGGACAGATTTCGTGCTCGACCAATCAGCGCATTTGTTTACACTTTCCTTCTCAGCTAATCATAATGCAGGAAACGAGAAATTTACAACAAGCTAGAGAATATTGCCGTCTTCTCGGGCTTCAGTGAGATTCAATTTTAACTTTTTTAATTTAAAACCAAAAGATTATGATGCAGCACATTAAAATCTAAAACTTTGCCGTGGGCATTTTTAAATTTCGACCTAGAACTGAAAATATCCATGTTTGAAATTTTTCCCTATGCCGCGTATACAAATCGTATACAAATTTGAGTAATCTAATTTGACTGCAATAAAACTAAAAATTGCTATATTTTCTCTGCTTTTAAGTTTTTGTTGGAAAACTCTTTTTAGCTCTTGTTGCAAATTGTTTTGGTCAATGTTTTATATCAAAACCTAGACGATAACGCGTTTATAGCGCTTGATTTAAAAAAATATAGTCGCACGCTCGCGATCATACGGGAAATCAATACAAAAATATTGTCCGACCGATTTTGCAGAAAATCAGACTCTCTAAACGCGTTAGTCTTCTAGGTTATGAAATAATACATTGACCAAAATGATTCTCAACAAGGGCAAAAAAGAGTTTTCCAACGAAAACGTAAAGCAGAGAAAATATAGCAATTTTTAGTTTTATTGCAGTCAAATTAGATTACTCAAATTTGTATACGCGACATAGGGAAAAATTTCAAACACGGATATTTTCCGTTCTAGTTCGAAATTTAAAAATGCCCACGGCAAAGTTTTAGATTTTAATGTGCTACATCATAATCTTTTGGTTTTAAATTAAAACAGTTAAAATTGAATCTCACGGAAGCCCGAGAAAACGGCAATATTTTCTAGCTCGCCTTGGTGTAGATTTCTGGTTTCCTGCATTATGATTAGCTGAGAGCGAAAATGTAAACAAATGTGCTGATTGGTCGATGTGCCCTTGTTCTTGTTTACGTATTTAAAAACAGTGTTTTAGTGTTTATATGCAAATTAGCAAACCAAAGAAGACAAAGACTACCTATTCACAGATTTTACAGCCATAAAGTCTCGAAAAGAATACTGCTGTGCTCCCTTGCTTCTGGTTATCATCAACTTATTATCAACTTGTTACGTGCAGACATTATTAGACTGGTTGGAGCAACTTGTTGCGAGTCTGTTCACCTCATCAACCTGTTACAAGATGATAACAACCTGTTCCGGACTTGTCAATAACTGCGAACAAGCAGTGCGAACACATCTTGTTGACAAGCCGCGAGAGTTTTATGTACTTTTACAAAAATAATGTCACTCTACAGGCATGATTTTAACAAATTCAATTCTTCACTTTTTCCAGAACACCCTTATCCAGACTACTACAATCCGAGATTTGTAAACATTCCCACTGTGATTGTATTGGTTGGCCTGCCAGCAAGGGGGAAAACATATGTCGCTAAGAAATTGGGACGATATCTCAACTGGATTGGAATTAAAACGAAAGGTGTGTACAATGATACTGTCACATGATGCAATTTTTGATGCAGCTTAATGGACAACTTGCATGTTAGACTAAATTTTAATCTAAGTAAAGAGAAGGGAATCAAACACCACAGCTAAAAAGAACATAATGAAATTAGTAAAATTGCAAAATTTGGTTGCGAAATGTTGAAATGTCAAGCTTGGAAAATATAGTCTTGCAAAGTTTCCAAATTTTGTTGTTTGTATTACGTGCGGAAATTGTTACCATTTTCGGCCCAAGAATGGTAACAATTTCTGCAGGTAATACAAACATGTATACAAAATATGCAAACTTTGCAAGGTTATATTTTCCGTATTTTACAACATTTCGTAACCAAATTTTGCAATTTTACTAATTTTAATAAGTTCTGTATGGGAATTTACTTTTTTTTTGTCTCAGGGTAAAAAATTAGTCTAACATGCAAGTTGTCTATAAGATTCTCTTGCAATACACTCTTTCGATAATTACGTCACAACTACACTGTTTTCAACTTAGGACCACCCTAAATGGAAAGGATTTCAAGCTTTTTTCTCATGGGCTATGCACAGAGAAGCAGAACATCCCTCTTGAACACATGCGCGAAAAATTTTGGATCTTGATTAATAAATATGGAAATAAGCATGAACACGAAAACGAGGCTCCAGGCAATGCCCAAAAATTAAAAAAATATGTCGAACCGCTAATTTTAGCTTACAGTATGTTTATTTCCCAAACGGTTTGACATATTTTTGTAAATGACCATGCAAGATTCACATGCAAGATTCATGTGGTTCCGGTTCCCGACAGACCCTATTTTTTTCTGCCGACCCTATTATTTTTTCAACGCGATTGACAGTGCGACCCTATTTTCTCCAGGTGGTTGCGGGCTGCTCATACAGCGTGCCAAAATGGCGTCTGTTGTCACACTAATTATTGAACCAAATTGCCTAAATTCGTCCATGGGAAATACACATCTCTAGTTAATATTGATGTCGGGACTCTATTGCAAATCGCCCAACAAAAAAACGGCAAAACCATGAAAAAAATATTTAAAAAAAAATTTATTTCCGACCTACCGACCCTAATTTTTTCACGATATGAAACCGGAACCACAGGTATTTTTTTATGCCTAATCAAGTGTCGAATTAAGTGGGATTTGCAATCAATGTGACCATAGGCTCTCCGTTCTCGCCTCTTGTTTCTTTCGCCTCGCAAAGAGCCACTGGAACCAGGGTATTAGATCTGAAAAAGGTGTTTAATGTTCATCACATCAATTATATATTTACAATCTCAAATGTCATGATAAGGAATGAAGTAATCTTGACATGACATGATTATTGCACTTCCTTTAGTTACTAATTTGCATATCATTGACGCATGACCCATTGAAATATAGATGGGATATAAAGTTAAAAAACATAGTTGGAAATTGGAATAAATGAAATGAATATAACTGGAGCGCTATGTTCAGATAAACTGCCAATTATTTTTGTGAAGCCAAATCTAACCCCCACGCGAGTTTGGCGGTCAAGACTCGCGTGTTTAGGCCTTGCGAGACCAGTTCAGGCAGAATGTCGTTTTATATGATTCTGAAATAGAATCGAAATATCGCCACCATAATTTGTGTCATACAGTCCAGGCCTTAAAATATCTTTTACTGGGCCGTCTGACAAAATGTCCGATGACGTTGAGTTTGGGTCGGACATATGTCCGATGACCTTCAGTTCAGTTTTGACTCGGAAATAAGTCTGAATGACACAAATGAATATCAGCACAATGTATTAATTCTTTACTGTAAATGTTGTGTAGAAAGTTAAATTTTGTTTCTTTCATACAAATTCCCAAGCTAAAATTAACTTGCTTTCCAGAACAGCAGTATTAAAAAAGACTTCGACAACTTAAGCCCGTTTTCCACTTCACCATTTCGCTCGCCGCCCCGCGCTTGACTACGTTAAAACAACACTTCCAGTTCACCTTTTATACAATAGTACTCTGACTTTCCATTTAACATACAAGCCTCTAGTCCTGGGCTAGGATACATTTTGATTTACGTTGGACAAAGCTACAGTTCGGTCGGACACAAATGCACTCAGGTCGGACAAACAATAAACCTCAGTTTCACTTTGGTCGGACAGAATGTCCGGCGGTTTCCTTTCTACGTCGGACATTCGGACATGGGTCGGACAATTTCACGAATGGGTCGGACAATGTCGGTGACCGATCGATATTTTAAGGCCTGACTGAGACTCAGTGTCATGCTCATATCTTGAGTTTACAAGATGGTGTTAATAGTCGGAGTATGTTTTTTCCTTATATTTCTATTTATATTTTCCAACAGTTTTCAATGTCGGAGTTTATCGACGAGTGGTTGTTGGCGCTGACAGGAAACACGACTTCTTTCGCGCTGATAACACCGAGGCAATAAAAATACGAAGGTATGAACTTCAAACATTTAAGATGTGGAAGGATTTTAATATATCGGAATGGATGATTCCAGTTATAGGCTAAATTTTGATCTAGGCAAGAAGAACAAAATCCATCACCAGTGCATGTTAAAATTAGTAAAATTGCAAAGTTTGGCGACGAAATGTTGTAAAATGCGGAAAATATAGCCCTACGAAATTTGAAAATTTTGTATTCATTTGTATTACGCGCGGGAATTTGCAACACATTTGGGCCGAAAGTGGTGCATTTTCCCGTGCGTAATACAAATTAATACAAAATTTGCAAATTTCGTAGGGCTATATTTTCCTCTTTTGATAACATTTCGCAACCAAACTTTGCAATTTTACTAATTTTAACATGCTTTTTCCAGCTATGGTGATGGATTTTGTTCTTCTTGCCCAGATCAAAATTTAGTCTACAGGATGTATAAAAAAACCTGCACAGATTTGAAATTTGCTCTTAAATTCGCAAAACAGCTATTAGTATATCCAGTTTTTTATGTATATAGCTTCTTTGGGTACTTATAATGTGGAAAAATGGAAAAAATTTCTCGAACTCAAATTTTGTGAACCAGGGGCGTGTGTCTTTTCCACCAAGTAAAAATGACTTGCGCACGAAATTTAATTACTGTACAAAATTTCAGACAATTTGCTTCAGTTTACGCCCTTTAACCATTCACGCAAACTTACATTTTTTCTTAAAAAATCATCCATTTGCATGCTAATCAATGTCTTTGCTTAATTTGCATATGTCAGTAATATGCAAATTAGGTAAAGGCATTAATTAAGCATGCGAAAGGCTAATTTTTTAGAGAAAATGAATAATTTGAAAAATGAATAGTTAAAATGCTTAAACTAAAGCAAATTGTCTGAAATTTTGTACAGTAATTAACAACCCAACAATTGTTCCATCTATCAACTCGAAATATGATTAAAGCTTCTAAATTTCGTGCGGAAGCCATTTTTAGTTTGTTGGAAAAGACACCCCCCCCCCTGGTTTACAAAATTTGAGTTCGAGAAATTTTTTCCATTTTTCTACATTATAAGTACCCAAAGAAGCTATATACATCAAAAACTGGATACTAATAGCTGTTTTGGCAATTTAAGAGCAATTTCAAATATGTGCAGTTTTGTTTTTGATACACCCTGTATAGGTGGGATCATCTATTTCATTGTTCCATAGTTTTGTCCCCCTGTAGAAAAACGAACGTTACCCTACAGTTGTCCTATAAAGTGGGACATCTATAGTTCACCTTTCCCACTGTCATGTGTCTTTAATCGAAATGAGAATCTGCTTTACAGGTATATGCATGGCGGACCTATAGACCTTTTAAACACTTGAATGTTGTATAAACTGCTTCTTTATATATGGTTCGTACAATATTTCTCTGTACAGACCTCGCGTTCGGTTAATAAGAAGTTAATATTTACTCGTGCTTGTAACGATCCGCGCGCCTATACTATACACGTGAAAACAAAGAAGTACAAGACCGTAATTTCGACCTGCATTGACTAACAGTTTGCATGTCAGACAAGAATTGCATTCCCTTTCTTCCAACACTAGAACTTGATAAACAGCTATATTATTTTTTTCAAAACGGCAAGAAATCCACGCGCTTGATTCTTTTTCATTTAAATATATTTCTTGTGCACTCGTTGTAGACAATGTGCCATGAATGCGTTATTAGACGTCTCTCAATGGTTTTCACATCGAGAAGGATTCGTTGCTGTAAGTATCCAGCTTTTTGCATGAGGGAACGTACCATCCTATAATTTTAGATTTGCCAACTACAAGTATTATAATGAAATTCCAATAAAATTCCTGTTACTGCGAAGTACATTTGAGGTCAGCTGTTACTTTATTGCATGCAGAGACCACCTCCTCCCCCCTAGTGAAGTTCATGTAGCACCACCCTAAAAATATTAAATAATAAATATTACTGTACTTAAACCACTAATATTTCTATGACTTAAACAAGCAAATTTACTGTACTGTTCTGTACTACAGCAACTGTCCAGTCACGTTTAGGTGATGAGAAGCCTATGGCTATGTAAACTTTATAAACAAAACATAATGTAGAACGTAACAGAACGGCGAACATTCAGACTCGGCCGTCTCGAATAATGGTATAATGTTAGGACAATAGCGCTGCAGACTGCAAAGGAGTGTTGGCAGACGATTAATCTTTTCCTTGTCCAACGCAAAACTTGCGGTTGCCATAGAGTATTTTAATAAAACACAAAACAATAGACACTCCAATAATTGTAAACATTTTCATTCTTTATGTTTCGACTATGATTTAAAGATGCTGTCAAGTCCGTAATGTAAACAAACGCTTTGTTTACATTTTGAACTGCTATATTTGTAAAATATGATATACTAACTGATGGTTCGCTATGCTTCTAAATGAATATAAACTCTACGTTTCAATTCAAAAAAGTTCGAAAGACACAGATCTTTGTTATGAGCAGAACTGATGCACAGAACGGACTTTTCTTCAGAAGAATCAAGAAGATTCTTCTGAAGATGACTTAAACTATATAGTGGAACGTAAAGAATGAAAATGTTTACAATTTCGGAGTGTCTGTTGTTTTGTGTTTTATTACAACGCATTTCAATTTTGTAAATCTTTGGTACGTAAGTAACATTAAACATTAATTAGTAATTTGTAAAAATTTTAGATATTTGATGCTACGAATACAACAAGAGAAAGACGTCAAATGGTTTTGGACTTCTGTGGGGAACGTGGCTACAAGGTAAGGGAGTGGTCATTATTTATGGGGGGATGTCACCGAAGAGAAAAGGGTTGGGTAAACAAAATTTTGAGTAAAAGGTTGGGTAAATGAAAAACAAAACAACTCAAGGGTTGGGTAATCGAAAGTTATTGTCATTTCCAGAACATGACTCGCTCAAATATTGAAGACAAAAAGGCAATGTCAACATGCAGTCATATGCATGTAAATCAGTCAGAGTCACTATCTTGATCATTTTCAGTTTTGCGTTCAGATGCATGAATATTCTTGCACTATTTACCCACAATGAGATGAATAATTGTTATACATATGCCACAACAAAATAAAAATGGCCAAAAAACGACGGTTTCAGCAAGCGTAATAGTTGTAAACAAAAGAGAATGCATTGGGAATAGCTTTAAAGAATACCTCTACACACTGTTAAACAAAACTTTGTGGCTTTCTTCGTATCTGGCGAAACCACACCCTTTGTTTAGCACGAACATTTGCTCGTCTGTGACTCTGTATTTCTGGTCAGCGCGCCCGTCGTCGAAGACTTTCCGCGTCAAATTTTTTTTATGAAAAGCGCTGATCAAGTCAAGGAAATTTTCTTCCTCAGTCAAGGAAATCTACTGAAATTTTGCCACGAAAGTGACGTGGTACATGTTTATGAATACATTTTAGTACTGGAACGTACTGCATGTCTTGCCATGATTTTTATATGAAAGAATAAAGCATATTCTTGTGCATTTCATATTTGATATATTTCTATTATTTTATACACCTGAACATTTAATACCATTCTCATTTTATTCCATGTAAACTGCAGTTTGATATTAAGCATTTCTGCAAAAACGGCGTTCCCTTGAAGACCTTGAAAGAAAAATAATGAAAAAAGAGCCGCGCACGCATCAATTTTGGACAGAAACAGAACACATTTTTAGCCTTATAATACTTACCTCATTGATTTTCGACAGGTTTTTTTCATCGAATCAGTCTGTGATGACGTCGACATTGTCTCGGAGAATATAAGGGCAAGTATTTATAGTTTATAATATAGTCATCCACCGTATATGAGCTGTTCTGCAATCTGACTGGTTGAATTACTCGCCGTATATCAGCTCATATACGGCGAGTAGCGAAAAACAAGATGGCGGTCCAAAAACTACATGAGTTTTGCGAAGCAGAAAAAGGAAAATATTCGCTTTGAGAAACATAATAGTACAGGGAAAAACTCTCAAAAAAAATTTGACAGGTTAGCAAAATACATTTATTACGTAGAAATTAGTTTAAATAAAGTTTTTTAAAGAATTAATACCGAAACAACAGCGAAAAAACATGTTCATTGAGAATATAAATTGTTCAGAAAAGTTTGCCGATGAACGACAAATGAATTTGCAGTCAACAAGCACTTACTATAGTACCAAACATCTGTATAATATATCTGAGCTTTCCTGTGAGATATAGAGGTTCTAAAACCATTTCTTTCACTTCGTCTTCGAGTTGTAAAACAAAAGTATTTCAAATTTTCAAGCGGTTTTTGGCCGAACAAATTGTCAACACATTGTAACAGTGAATAATTAATTGCTGCTTCAGTTAATGGCTATATTAGACTATATTATAAAACAATTATACCATTCGCTCTCGTCGTATATGGCTGATAGCCGACTCGGTGCTACGCACCTCGTCGGCTATCAGCTCATATACGACTCGAGCTCATGGTATAATTGTTAAATATAATACTGCGGAAATTGATTTAATAAAAGATCTGTCTTAATCTTAGCGTGAATATTTCTTGGTGTTTAGGAAGTGAAAGTATTCAGTCCAGACTACGAGACGATGAAAAATGACGAAGCTGTTGAGGATTTCAAACAACGGATAGAACACTACAAGGCAACATACGAACCATTATCTCTGGAAACTGATGAGTGAGTTCTTTTATAGTGTTTATTATGTATAGTAGAGAGTGAGATACTGAAAAATACACATGCAGTGAGATATTTTCCATACATCTACTGTATAGCCATCTTCCACTTCACTAGTGAAGATATTGCTCAAATGAAGATATCGCTGAGTACAGCTTAGTATACTTCACTAGTGTACTGAGCTATACTCGGAGAGATAATTTACTTAACTCTACGGACGTTGAGTTTAGCGTTTCTGGGGCCGTGCATAAAACAAACCATGCATTTACACAATCTGATATTTCCGTAACTGCTTGTCTTTTATACAGGGAGTTGTCATTTATCAAGAACATTAATTGTGGTCAACAGTTTATTGTCAACAGAAGCCACGGTAAATATAATATCCCAATTTATAATACTGGTTGGCAGTTGCAATCATACAGCCACAATTTCAGTGATTGTTGCCAGAAAACACACGAATTACATGTATTTTAGACATTTTAACCTAATACAGTATACCATAGTTTAATTAGTATGCATACCTGGCCCTTGTTCTATAGAAACTTTAAGGAATTCTCCTCCTGACTTTTGCATGCATTCTCCTCCTTTTTTGAGTAAAAAATACTCATATTTGAGTGAAATTACTCAACATTTGAGTACAGAGCTCGTTTACTCAAAATAAGGAGTCACTATGGGTGCATTTTTCTTGAGTAACTATAGCACTCCTTTTTTGAGTAAAAAATACTCATATTTGAGTGAAATTACTCAACATTTGAGTACAGAGCTCGTTTACTCAAAATAAGGAGTCACTATGGGTGCATTTTTCTTGAGTAACTATAGCACTCCTTTTTTGAGTAAAAAATACTCATATTTGAGTGAAATTACTCAACATTTGAGTACAGAGCTCGTTTACTCAAAATAAGGAGTCACTATGGGTGCATTTTTCTTGAGTAACTATAGCACTCCTTTTTTGAGTAAAAAATACTCATATTTGAGTGAAATTACTCAACATTTGAGTACAGAGCTCGTTTACTCAAAATAAGGAGTCACTATGGGTGCATTTTTCTTGAGTAACTATAGCACTCCTTTTTTGAGTAAAAAATACTCATATTTGAGTGAAATTACTCAACATTTGAGTACAGAGCTCGTTTACTCAAAATAAGGAGTCACTATGGGTGCATTTTTCTTGAGTAACTATAGCACTCCTTTTTTGAGTAAAAAATACTCATATTTGAGTGAAATTACTCAACATTTGAGTACAGAGCTCGTTTACTCAAAATAAGGAGTCACTATGGGTGCATTTTTCTTGAGTAACTATAGCACTCCTTTTTTGAGTAAAAAATACTCATATTTGAGTGAAATTACTCAACATTTGAGTACAGAGCTCGTTTACTCAAAATAAGGAGTCAATATGGGTGCATATTTCTTGAGTAACTATGGTACTCCTTTTTTGAGTAAAAAATACTCATATTTGAGTGAAATTACTCAACATTTGAGTGCGCAGAGCTCATTTACTCAAAATAAGGAGTCACTCTTTCTTTTTTTTTGGAGTAAATGTATAGAATTTGAGTATTTTTAACTAATTTTTTCGAGTAATTTTTACTCACTTTTTACGAGTTACTTTTACTCACCGTTAAGAGTCACTATGGGTGCATTCATTTGCTCAATAGTTTGAGTGTATTCTACTCAGAATTTTTTGCAGTGTACATGAAGATCTATACATACGGAGAATTTTTCCTTGACAAGTTCTTTTTTCTCGTGTGTACAGCGAAAAAGTCGAGCCTCGTTCCGAAGCTGGTCATGTGAGTGTACAAGAAATATTTCGTGCACAGGAGCAACAAAACCTGTCAAGGAAAACATGTTGAGGCGTGAAAGTTGAAAAAAATATTCACGACGAATATTTTGGCAAAATTCGTTGCGCGAACTTCGTTCTGAACGGGGGCAAATGTTCCAAAATTGGAAGAACATTTAAATCCCAAAGGTGGAAAAATGCCAATTCAACCGACCACTTTAAATCAGGCCGCATTTGATTAATTTTTATCACAATCATTCCATGAAGGTGTCATTTGACAGCTAAAAACCTGATCTTTATAAATACGAGAAAGAAAACCTATATTGACGTATTAGTTAACATACCTATGCATTACCTATTAGCCATTTCCCAATCGAGCAGAGGACTGGGTCTAGTTGATGTTTGGAGGGACATTTGGAGGGACAACAAGTTATAATGAGCGAGCTGAATATATATTAAAGTCCTCTGCTCGATTGGGAAATGGCTAATTTTTAATACACCTGTATATAACGCGACGTTGTTAATAGCAAAATCTGAGAATAAAGTAGGTCGTTTACAACTTGCCTCAATCGCTGGCTACAAAACAAAGTGTGTCGAAGTATTTAATGTAATGTTGGCCTGATTTCAGTTACTGCCTATTCTGCATTTTCAATATTTGTACAGAGGTTAGTTTTTACGACATTTGTCTATTTATCTCTATATAAGAATACCGCACGACTTCCAGTAAGAAGAAACGAAAATGCAGAAAAGACAGTAACTTATACCAGGCCAACATTACACTATATATTTCTACAGACATTGTTCTGCAACCAACAATTGAGGCAATTTTCAAATGACCTATCGTATATATTCTCTGATTTTGCGATTTACAGCATCGCGTAACAACTGGCTCAGTACACATCTGATTGGTTGATCGAATATATCGAACGCATCTGATTGGTTGATGGTTCCTTAATGATAGCGGTAGTGGAAATCTGAACCTCTAGAATTTGCTGTTTACTGCAGAAGCCATATTTCCATCGATGATATGCAAATTTAACATAACATTTATACAACCTCGTTCCCAGGGCTTTTCCATGACAAAAAGGGAAAAGCCCTGGGAACGAGGTTGAACATTTATACAGTCGTGCCAATAGAAGCGTTCCGAAAAAATGTTGACCAGTTCATTTCCTAACTTCTGGGAGTTCCTCTGAACAATTCCTCAACAATTTGATAAGTTCCTTAAAAAGTTCCTAACTTCCTGTTTCATTGACCAATCAGATTGCTCAAAAATAATAAATGAAACAGGAAGTTCGGAACTTTTTAAAGAAATTTTCAAAATTTTTCAAAAGGTGTTCCTTCAAGTTAGGAAATGAACTGGTCAACATTTTTCGGAACACTTCTATTGGCACGACTATAACATTGCAGTACCCTTTTATATATACATGAACTTGTGGTTAGAACTCAACAACTGGACTGTAGCTCAGTTGGTTTGGACTGTAACTAGGGCCGCAGATTCCATTCCTGCCAGGGACCTATAGTTGCATTTTCCGCGGCTGTTTCTGGTTAGGTCTAATAAATGTGTATAAAATTTACACTCGATAATTTCCATCTACTCAACCCTTGCCTCGTGGTTGACTAAAGAATGTTTTCTTGCTTTCTAGGTTATGTTCAAAGTCGTGTTGTATATTATATGATGAATACGCACGTGCAACGAAGATCTATATATTTAACTCGGGTAGGTTTTGTTTTCGTAAGCGGCTCATCAAGCCAGTTTTCCATTTAGTGGTATTTCATATCAGTGGCTACAACCAATAGACCTTTCCCCTTTTAAGTGAGATTTTGATCTAGACAAGTCTGGACAAAAATTTCATCACAGCTTGAAAGAGCATCACAAAATTAGTAATATTCCGAAGTTTTGTTGCCGAATGTTGTAAAATGCGGATAATATAGCCTTGCGAAGTTTGCCGTTTTTCAGTCATTTTGATTACAAATGGGAAATTGATAATCAGATGATCAAACTGATTATCAATTTCCCGTTTGTTATACAAAATGACTGAAAATTGCAAATTTCGCAAGTCTATATTGTCCGCATTTTACAACATTTCGCAACGAAACTTTGGAATATTACTAATTTTGTGATGCTATTTCAAGCTGTGATGAAATTTTTGTCCAGACTTGTCTAGATCAAAATCTCACTTAAAAGGGGAAAGGTCTATTGGAAACCAGTCTTAGACTTTGGGTGTGTTCATATATGAGCCCGGCAAACTGACCTGAATGAGATCTGCATGCCTTTTGTTAACGCATAATAAGCCTTGTTTACACTGAGATCGATTCAAATTGTATCGATCTCAGTTCGCATTTGGGGAGCGTTCACACTTGGCCGAAAAACACGCTTGCCACGATGCAATTTTGAAATTGCTTGAAAATTTAAATGGCCGACGGTGGTGTTATCAAAGTTGTTTCGTCAAGACGCAGGAAGATTCGTCGAATCTTTATGAGTTTTGTTTTGAACAAGTGTTTACATTTCGGCAGATCTGAACGCGCAAGACGATAGGGATTAGTAACTAGAGTCTCAGTTCGCTGTAAGTTTACATTGCGCGCGGATTACGTTGAGTCGATCTCAGACCATCTCCAGATGTGGACTCGTTTAGATCGATCTCAGTTCGCATTCTTGCATTCACAGTTAGATCGCTTGGCCTTGGATCGGTCTGAGATCGATCTAACTCGCTAGTGTGAACAAAGCCCAATTTGTGTTCATATGTGAAACGAACAGCTAGGCGAGATCTCATCTTGTGCTAGATGGCATCTCAGTCAAGTGGAATATACAATTACTTTATGGTTTCCGTGTTTGGATGGCCTGATCCAAACACGCGGGAATGTTGCGAGAGTTAAGAAAAGCGAGCGAAATCACGAGCCGAAGGCGAGTGATTTTGCCCGCTTTTCTTAACTCGAGC